TGGTATGTTTGAGGAACTCACATAGCGGTAGAATTGGAAGCGTATCAACAAGAACCCAAATGTCCAAATTGTCTTGGTCGATGTCAGGATCATCAAGATCCATGGTGACAAACATACCCTCTTGAAAATCATACATCTTGCAAAGTGCTTCCCAACCCGGGCAACCAAAGTGGGATACGCTCTCAGAATTGTATAGATTTACGTCAAAATCCATACCATGATGGGTCCTTAGGTTAATTTTCTTTGTTTCATTCCTCTCATGATCTTTAAAACCCATCCTCTCCATGACATAGCGTCTTGCATGGCATGAGATAAGCTAGTCGAATTGTAAAAGACAAAAATTACACGTTGAAGTAGTAGAAGTCGAGCTTAATTACGAAAAAAACACTTTGTGTTGTAGCTTACCATATCACAATCGAAGGCCTCCTCGAGCTTAATGCTGAAGTGCCGACCTTCGTCCAGGTGAGGCCTGTCACAGAAACCCCGGTTGTCGCTGCACCAGGAGCACTCCCCGGGACCTTCTTCGTCCGAGGACATTTCCTATGTTCATAATTCAAAGATTAAACTTGTACAATTAAATATATGTACTACAAAAACTAAATTATATCATTATTATTCAACACGGGTTGACTATCGGTCCGTCGATTTTTTTTGAAAACTCTCAGCTCACGTGGTGTATATATTTGACCGTTGGTGATGGTCGCTCCTCCCTTCGTCCCCGAGTGCATTAAACCAAAATGTCTAGCCCACGGGAACGAAGGAGAAGCGACCCCCACGACAACAGTCAGCATTCTTCTTCGTTCTCTCATATATTGTGGACACACTCCCTCACTGATTTTTTGACCGTCGGTGATGGTCGTTACTCCTCCTTCCCCTAGTGCATAACAAAGGTCTAGCACAAGGAGAAGAAGGAGAAACGACCCCCACAACAACAGTCGGGATTCTTCGGCCTCGACAGACTTAAAGTCAACCCGAAATATCGTCTAATTATCTTTCTAGAAAATCCAGTCCACTCGATATTTCCTACATATTCTAGCACAAGTCATGCCAAAATTCACGGAAAATTCCGGCATTACCTTTGCTAAAAAAAAGGACATATCGAGCGCTTGAAATTTGCCGGAACAGAAATTAATCAACACTCCGGCAAAACATAGGCCACTCGGAGGTGTAACCTGCAAACATTACCGGCCACTTGGGCAAACACATATCCTATTTGACATGTTTTTATCTACATCATATCTTATAGGACTCATATTGACATGGAGATTTGTCTAGTCTCACCTCGAGGTCGGAGGGGTCGGTGATGGGGACGACGACGGGGATGATGGACGGGCTCCTAGATTTCTGCAAAAACAAATACCCTATTACTTAAACTAAAAAAATGTAGCGCTGACCAGAGATACTCTAAATGTAGCGCTGGTCGGTGACGGTGTCGATGCGGGAATAATTGCTTAAACTAAAAAAATAACAACAAATGTGACATGTTCAACTAGTTTTATTAATTCAAATAGTTCTTACTAAAAATAAACTTACTATAAATAAAAATAAACTAGTTCTTTCTAAAAATAAACTAGTTCAACTAGTTATATTAATTTTCTTACTAAAAATACATTAGTTCTATTAATTCAACTAGTTCTTACTAAAAATAAACTAGTTCAACTAGTTTTATTAATCTACTTACTAAATATTTTTAACACTTACTAAAAATAG